AAGGATTAAGCGTTTACTTGGCGTTTACGAAGGGAACGTTGTAGCGGTGAAGGAAAAAGAAGGAAACGAATGAATAAATAAATAAATAAATAAATAAAAAGATAGTGGAAAATGGAAGAAAGGTAGAAGGGGGTATCATATTCTTTCTCTTGGCGAGTCTTTAACGAAATTAAATCTGCGAAGCAGCTCTCGCGAAGAAACTTTAAAAGTTTTCTCTTTTTCGTCCGCTCTCACGGTCCACTTCTCTTTGGTTTCACGGTGAAACAATAAAAATCACCAAACGGGGAAAGAAAAGCGCGGGGTGGAGAAAATTAAAGGAAATAGCTTGTTCTCCATGGAACGTAATTTCCGGTATTTAGCAGGGAAAATATTCCCTCCTAAGTAAGATTTTTTTCCTTCTCTCCCGTCGGCTGTTTTAAATCGTTCCCACCACCGACGATTGTTATAATTTCGTTAAACAATTACCGTTCGTACTGTCGAAAATTTTCATTGGATATTTCATTGTTTTTTCTTGCTTCAAAGGGTAGTTTCTATCGTGGCATTCAAGGTATTAACTTTGTATCCACCCTTGTCGGTCATTTTTCCGTCGTTGTATTTACCTTGAAACTTTGAAAACAGTGGAAGATGTCTTTGCGTTAACCCAACATCCCTCATCGAATTACCATTCCCAAGAAAATTCAACTCGAAGAAAGTCTGAAGTTCGGTTAATCTCTCTTGAGGGTGATAAAAAGCGTGGAATAGAAGGATCGCGGTGTTGGAAGTAAAACAGAAGGGGTGGGCAAGCAAGAAAGAGGGTGGCAAATAATGGTAGATAAAGAAAAGGTAGGGTGACGTCACAAGGGGTATCCGGTTGGGTTAGGTCGCGACTCGTTCTAGCAACCCCCTTCTCGCCGGTATACGCGACGCGTTCCACGACGAATCTCACCCCCTCCCCTTTCGTCCGGCAGCATCTAGCTCCTCCAGCATCGGCCGTCGTGCCGAAAAAAGCAAGGCTCGCAGAAAGGACGCCCGGCGTCGTGGCGCTCTTTGGCTGATCAATACACGCCGCCTCGTACGCGAACGGACGGTCACGCATGTGCACGGTGTGGGCTCTTTCTTTCTTTCTTTCTCTTTTCACCCTCTACGTGTTTTTTTTCCTCCCTTTCTCTCACGACCACCCACTTTCCTAGCCTTTCTCTCTGTCTTCGTCCCGTTCTCGTCGCGTTCGTCTTCCTCTTTTCTTCGTCCACCCCTGCAACCGTCTCTTCTTTTTGCGACTCTTCCACCACCCCTCCCTTCGCCAACCCCCCTCTGTGTCTTCTTCGCCCCCTCGAGTATCTCCGGCCGGACACCGCGGACGCGTGAGATTACTCTTCGTTTCGAATTGTTCGATTCGACGTCGAAATTTCGACTTGAAATAATTAAAAGGTTATTAAAAATGTTTCTTCGTACTCGGACTGTGGGGATGTATTTATTTGAAAATTAGGCGATCTTCTATTGTCTCATGAAGGTCTAAATATTGCGGAAAAAATTGGGTGAATTTATTGATTCATTTTCAATCTGATGTTTTACGTCAGTCAGATTTTGAATGCCTTGGGTGTTACTAGAGATCAACGCTGAAAATTTATTATATTCGAGTAATTAAGAGAATATACAAGAGAAAGTTTTATGCAAAATTCGAAGTTTCAATCACTAATGACTACCATAATAATCAGCCTGTTACGAATCGTAAGGGTAATTTTCCAAAATGTTCCAACGTTAAGGGTAAAACAGGATGAAAATTTGGATTAGCTATTTTCCTCGATACGCGTCTTCGTATACACTGTACTATACTTTGAGAAGTTTCCGCTGATTCGATCCTCGCTACCACCCCCCGTTTCTATCTTTCCACCCCTCGTTCCCCATCCACGTTTCTCCTTCCCGGAGACTGGCCGATTTTTTCCTCCCGTTTCCTCGGCTCCTCGATTTTTTTTACATCTTTTTTCCCCTCCCACCTCCCCTCGGACGGTCGTTTCACCCCCTGCTGCACCCCCGTAGCCCAGTACGCCCGGAGCGCCCTCCTTCTCTGTCTCTTTTCTCTTCTTTTTCGTACCCCTTTCTTGCTCTTCTTCGATCGTATTCCGTCTCTGTTCACCAACCACCACCACCACCGCCAACGCCATCACCCTGCCTCTTCTCACTCACCCTTCCTCTATCCTTGTGATTTTTTTCCCCGGCCACCCTCCGACGCCGGGCGTCGGCGTTCTTTTGCTATCGGGACGTTCTCTCGACTATCGGCCCGACCACCTACTACCAACGTGTACGGAACAGAGAGAGGGATGAGAACGAAGGGTAGTCGCGAGGGGGGTTGGCTGCAGCGCCTGGATGCGAGCTAAAATGTATTTTTTTTTATTTTTTTTTTTTTTTTTTACTTTTTCCTTTTTTTACCTTCTTTATCTTCCCTTCGAGCTGCTCGTGGTAGGTTGGATTACCAATCCAGGGATCGTGGAGCACGTATTTCCATTTTTTCCCTCCTTTTCGCCTATTTCCATCCTCCATTCCCCTGTTCCAGCCCGTTTCGCTTGGACGTAAGGGCCGGATCGGCTCGAACCACCCCGTCGAGTTTCCGGCTCGATGAAAATTATCGAGTTGTATTTTTGAAGGGCTCTTTCGTGTCCACCAAGGGTACACATCGGGTGTAGGTGTTGCGATGAAGGAGATGAAGAGGGTTAATTGAATGTCTTCGTCTTAAACGGCGTTCTCGGTCGAGAAATTTCGCGTGGGATGAAGTTTGAATGGGATGACTTTGAGACCCTATTGAAAAATTTAAATTGCCTTAAAAAGGTCAGTGAAAATTCGTGGCACATAATAATTTTATTTTTCATAAATTTATTACGCTGATCGACACGAAGGTATCGAAATAAAATATTTTTTCTGTCTATCGACGTATTAAAATTAATCCCCGTTAAAAAAGGGAAGGTTACAGACGATAACCCTTGCAGGAAAATGTCATAGAAATGTCAAAGGATGACATTAGGACGGTCGGCAAGCATCATCCCAGGATCGAAGCTCTTCAATTATTCGTTCTTCTCATTAGGGGATCCAATTTTAAGCGCGTCACGCGACCGATCTTGATACCATCTGCCAGCAGACCAAGTAGATTTAAGGGATGATCCGCTCTCTTCCTGCTCGGGAACGATTCCCTCCCCTGCGCGAGATCCTCCACCTTGCTGTCTCTTTTGGTTTCCGATTTTAAAATAGAAATAGATCATAGTGCTGACTTCCGGCGATGCTTGGAAATACTCAGAATTTTTTCCATGGAAGAATTTCTTATCCCTAATTCCATGACTAAATTAGCCTTCTATAAATAATATAAAATAAAAGAAATTTTAGTTTTCTGAACAGGAAGAAAATGCAATTTAAATACAGAGACATTTTTATATTAAAAGTTAGGAGAATTGCTTCCCTTTAGGATATCTTATAAAAATAAAGAAAAAGATAGTCGGATAAGTTCATCCCTTTCTTGTTAAACAGCTTCGAATATCTTCGGATTGCGAAGCGAAAGGGGGATCAAGAAAATACCATGGTGGAGATTTTGTTTCAATAAAAACATCCTCGAGTCGCGTCGCAATATCCGAAGGGATTTTCTCCACCGTTTGAAAGAGGGAAGGTTTCCTTCGACGCTGTAGGGCGCGTTGACCGTCCTCGTTCGAGAAATGCATATCCCTTCGCGGTCTCGGACTTTCTCACAAGAATCGAATCGTTTCACGAGCCACCTGTAGAGCGAACAGACCAAAAGCATTGCCCTTTCGACGCCTTATGGTGTCCCTTAGCCTGTTTTCTAGGTCGACTCCGTCATCCTCGATTTTACAGCCACGTAAAATTCCACCCCATCAACCACAGGGGTGAAGTGTCCTGCCTTATCGATTCTTTCGTATAAAAGTAGACTCCTAAATATTCCTCTATTCATATTCAAAGTACATATGTGAAAAAAGGGCTTGATATCGTGAAGATTCATTAGAATAAATCATCCCTTAGTGCCGTAGGTCGAGAATAGACCTACCCGAAATTTCTTTACGACGCACATTACGAATCCTTGAAGAAGGATACGCGACCACACACAAGGTCCTTGGAGTGACGGAGGGTGGCAAGGGGTCGTCTGTGGTTTACGAGGTCATGAGAAGGGAAACGAGGTCATCCCTTAATGTCCCTAACATTCTCGGTGTCCTGCGGCTATGACATATATTTCAGTCGCTGTTTAAACCATCCCGGGTCGTCCGAGGATCGAGGGTGGACACGTTTCACGTTATGGGAATATGGTCGAGGGACTGGGATGAACTTTCTCCGGACGGCAATTAGTGGGACGACGAATGATTTACCGGGAACAAATTTGAAAGATTTCTGGCTAATTCGACAGAGGGTGGTTTTAGTTTTAGTCTTCTGAAATTATTCAGTTCAATAGATGAATTTGAAGTATCGATCAATTTCCAAAATAAAAAGAAAAAAATAACACGAAAGTGTAATCAATAATTGATCGAACATTGGACAGCGAGGGTTGCGGGCGAAAAGCAAAGGGTTGGCGAGGTGATGGAGTGTGATACGTCGGAAGGCAGCCGAAGTGGCGAGGGTTAGTGGGTGGTTGAGAGGGGTCGAGAATGGTGACGGGGGTGGGAAGCATCGTCTACAGTCTAGACACAACACAGACGAGGGTGGTGAAACCTGGCCTACGACCTTGGGCATCACTCGGCCTTCAACGGAGATAAACAATTCAACCCTCGATCCTTGTTTTTCCTATACAACTTATTATGTTCGGGGTGGAAAAATTGCGTAGCCATGATACAGAAGGCGTAGGAGGTTTTCCAGTAAAATAAGAATTCAGGGTGAATTCGAAGGACGTGAATTAATCTTCTTAAGACAATTCAGGGGTTGTTTTTGATTTAACCACATAAATAAAATATAGTTAAATAAAATGTATATATTTAGTTTTGAATAAAATATAGAATTTTTTTTCAACTGACGATGTCCCTTTTTGTATGTTCCAGCAATGCAATCCCCACGACAAGGAGAGCGACTACTGGGGCGGTGGACGGGGTGCGAAACAAGGTTACGAGGTGAGCCAACCGCTTGCACATATTTCAACAGAATGGCCGGAATTTTCACGGTCCCTGTGCTAATTCTACTTAGTGAAGCGCAGCACTTTCTGTTGCAGGCGAAAATGAACGCGGACCACAGCCAGCTGCAGAAGGGTGAGTTATCTACTTCGAATTTTATCCTCGATATCCTTCGTCTAACCATTTCCATTCGTTCTATTTTAATTCACGTTAATCGTCGCTGTTAAATTTCAACATTAATCGTCCACCGATGAAAGAACGTAATTATGCAACCCCTCTCGACCTTTCCCCCAAAAACGTTCGACCATCGAGCAAACGTTCGGCCAAGCAGCGTGCAAATATTGGCACTTAATGTTCAATAGTATGGCCATTCGCGGATATTGAAATAACAGAACCGTACGACGCTGCTGAACAATAGAACTCACTCTTTTTTTTCTTTTTTTTTTTTTTCCATTTTCGGTGAATTGTGTTTCGTTACGAATCGAGGTTGCGAGGGTTGGTGTTTGCTGTAGCCTCGTGAATACTTTTACACTGGGAACCTTTCAAATAATAGCGAATGACCGAGGAATTCTCTACCCTTAAATTGATCTGATAATTGTTGTACGTTGAATTAATTCGTCGAGTTGGCCGACCTTGATACCTGTCATTAATTAAGCATCGATTCGATTCGTTGATTTACGATTCACGGCGCCAGACACCGGTAGATCCGGAAGGTGATTTCATCGCGCGAAAGAGTGGTTTATCGTGAAATAATACAAGCAACAGACAGACCTTTTTGGTCGGCGGAGAATAAAAAGAAAAGACGGGCCAGAAGCTGACGCACGCCGTGTGTAAACAGTTCGTAAAGGTTCTTTTCGGTGTTGAGAAACCGGTTGTGATTTTGCATCCGTGATGTAAGATCGTCGATTAGGATCGAAATGTTGAAGGAGGCAGGTTGAGGTCGGAAAAAAAAAGAGGAAAGAAAAAAAAAAACACGCGCGAACGGGAATTTATCATTCGGTCTTGTCCCTGTGTCGAGTCCTTTTTATTTTTCACCTGTTAGCCACCTCGTGTTCTCTTGCTCTTTTCTTCTTCCTTTCGATCCTCCTCGCCCGCGCCACTTCCTTCTTCCGCGTTCGAGTTTTCGTGACCCTCTATTCATGAGCAACCTTCTTCGAAAACCTCTATTTCCTCCGGGAAGTGGGTCAGGTTCAAGGATCTCTGTCCACGGGACACCTTTTCCTTATTTCTTTCCTTTTCTCGCATCGAATTAGGATGTAATTAGGTTCGAAAAACTCAAAAATCGATCAGAGTAATTTGGATAGAATGATTTTTTCACGGCGGACCATGGAGAGGGGCCCAATTTTAATTTCTAAATATATCTCACATACATTTAATTTCAGGATAATATTCTTGCATATGTTTTGTTAAGTTTGGGTCACGATTGATCCAGGTTTCGCTGTTCAAGGGTTAAAAATCAAACGCTCTCGTTTGAAATGATCGATCCGCGTTTTTCCTAAGCGCGGTAAGAACACTGGCATTGACCCAGCCCATTCAGCCGGTGATTTTTCCCCCCTGGTGTTCTCCCCGAAGGGATTAAGTAATCGGTGGCTTCACTCGTAAAAGGTGAAGCACGTTTCCATAAATGTTTTTCACTGCCAATGACACGCGCGACGTGTCGTGTAGATCGGCCATTTACGAGACCCGTGTTACGCTTTCCTCTCCGGCTTCTTAGGCGAGTCTGACTTTGCCCGATAAGCGAAAAGAAACTAGGCAAAACACCGTACGATTATTCAACCCAGTATTTTTTCCTTCTCATGATTGAGCTTTAGTTTACACTTGTAGCGATCGAAATATTATTTTGTATACGATATCCCGTGTGGAGAAAGGCAGCGATTTTTTGGACATGGGACCCCGTCTCGATCGAAATTTCAACGTCATGCGATCCATGCATTAAGGATTAGTCGTGAGGGACGTTTTACGCAAACGTTTCGAGCTAATTTTAGGGCCCAGAACGAAAGTGTTCCTCAGATTCGGTTTCGAGACACGCGAGCCGAGGATAATGACGGTCTCCTCTGGGTTAACGAGGAATTGAGTCATTATCTAATTCGCATGCAACTTGTTGCTTATTTTCGGCTTTTGCTTCTTTACATGGCACCATTAATACGATTTTCCTTCGCCTAATAACTGCCTAAAATTTAGAAAATGAAAATAATACGAGGTACGAATTTAAATTAAAATTAAGGCTCTCTCCATGGTCCGCCGTCAGAGGATTGACTGCCGTGGTAGGGTGACTCCTCAAATTTTCAATAATAAAATAATTAATAAAATAATAAATATTGCAAGGTGTCAATTTAGTAGCTCAAGTTTGAAAATGAATCAATAATTGTCCATTTGTATTTTCACATTTCCATGTTACACGTTAAAATAAAAATTATTATTGTCAAGGTGGAATAGAAGTAAAGTGATTAGTGTACGAAGAAGTAGAAGTCAATGGTAAGACGCGTTGCTCTTTCGAGTCATGGTTTCGTCACGACTTCCGTTTTCGAAACGTAATCGCGGCAAATGGTCGTCTCTAATGACCGAATCAGCTCCGCCATGGTAATTCCATGCTACGAAACGATTCCCATCGGACTGTCTGTGATCCCATGACGCCTGGTTGCTCGTTAATGTAACAGATAACGACTTTCACCTATGCGTGGATCTCTGTTGTTTGCTCGTCCCTGTACAAGACCTCTTGTCGGCATGATTTTCTCGACACGGTGCTCTTTGTGTCGCCACAGGTGGTTAACACGCTGTTTTCAAGTGGGAATGATGAATATGTTAAGCAGCCTGTTACTGATTCGATCTATCTTGTATCGTTGCAAGTTGTGTTCCTCCTTTGACGTTATTTCTTGCGTCATTCATTTATTTTTCTTTTTTGTGCTACTGAAAGGTATTTTAAAATGTTGCGAAAAGGTTATAGAGAATGAAAATTGTTTATTTTCTATAGGAAAATAGATTTGATATTTCTCAAAGTGTTAGCAATTAAAAATGAGAAAAAATTCAGAAACGAAAAATAGAATGCATTTCGAAAGCAGTTTCCTCGCGTTCGACGCATAGCCGCGCTAATGAAGATAAATATCAAAATTACGGAACGAGAAAGGAGGCGGCAAATTGTCCCAGGAGAGACATACGACAGCATCGACTCTCGATCTAACAGTGGCCGTAACGAGACGGTGTCTCGCTTTCGTTTCCGTTCGAGATTCATGAAAGGACGCGCTAAGAACCGGAGCCAAGCCGTTTCGCAAGGGACACAACCATTATAAAGCTATATTCCGATTTGCATTTCTCGTAAATTGAATTTTTCTTCTTTTTTTTCACCCTATTTCCATGTCCCTTCTCGACCTGAATACACCTGAATAGGAAATGCATTTTGCAATTATGCAATTTTTATATTTTTTTGCCAACTGTCCATAATTTTGACGATATTAATATTAAAACATACTTAGAAACAACGTTTATTGATAATGATTACACAAGGATTTTTTTATCTTGGTTTTTCCTTCAAAACGATCGTTGTTCGTGTTCAACGATCTTTAAAGATGTAATGCTTCGGGAAACGTTTGTAAAAAGTGTCTCCTCAAGTCATGGATAGTTGAGGTAAACGTTGAAGGAAAATTGAGGAGGTTGATAGTCGGAAAGGGCTCGTTTTCACGGGCTATGTTTTCATAAAGCAACGCGCGAATCGAGTCGTTCCTCATCGACCAACTACCATCGCGCCGTGATATAAAATCCAGCAACGACCTCGTAAAACTTTGTGCCCGTCAGGGTGGTAAAATCTCTGGAAAAGCTATCAAACTGAAGGTACGGGCGACGGAGGCGGGCAAATAGCGATGCTGAAATATCGTAAAAACACCTGAGATACTTGATCGGCAATGCTAGACGATTGCCAGACGGCGTGTCTGCATCAGAGGAAAAAAAAAAAACCTGTCCCTTTAACCAACAGAATTTTTATTGTCAAGCACAACATGGGATATCTTTCGTTTTTAATCGAAAAACTAGGATTTCTTTTTTGGTAGACAGACAAAAATATTGGCGTCGGGGAATTTCAGTAAAAACTTGGTCTGACAAGCGGTATTTAACCTTTGGACAGCAGAACCTGGGTCAATCATGATCCAGACTTACAAAACATATTTTTTAAACCAAAAAGATTCGTATATTGAAATAATTTTTAAAAGGAACAGTGTGATAAGAATCTCAATCAAAATTGGGGCTCTCTCCATGGTCCGTCATCCAAGGGGGGAAAGAAAAAGGATCAGACAAATCCAGCAATCACTTGGACTAATGTGACACTTTTTGGAAATTCCAATGAATACTATTATAGTCTTTCGTCTGCATTCGTGACACTTTTTACGGAGGAAAAATATTTTTGAGAGAAGCTGGTCGAGACGATTTTGGCGAGACCGGCTCCCCTTGAAAACTAGTGGTTTAATAGTTGCCCGATGACATAACGACCTTGCCAAAGGTGCATCTGATTTTAATTCCGTTTCGTCTCGGGACCTTTCGGACAATGCTGGCCCCAGGCGTCGACTCATCGACCAAAATGTCCTGTTCGTCGGAATAAAATATCGTTGATCCTTTTGTTGCTTCCTCGCCGGACGAAAATTCGTTTTATCATACTCAAGGATTTATTAAATTAACTAAAGACAAGGATCTGCAATTAATATGGATATCAATTGCAAATTTTACTTAAATTTTCTATACTCCGAAACCGTGGAACCGTATAAAGAATCTTCGATCCCGTTTGTTCATGAATTGACAGTTTCGAAAAAATGAATTAGCAGTAATTACATGAACTACACCTTGAACGCGTTGGTTTGGTTGAAAAAAAAAAGAGGCAGTCGATTTACACTTTGCTCCATTCTTCCATCCAGGCCGATGTTGCTATGCAAATCTACATTCGAGGAGAATATTTATTCTCTCTCAAGTTGTTCAATAAATATCTTTTATCTCTCGTGCTTTGCATATTTTATTTTATTCTGTCATGTATAGCATTCGTTTTGCATAGCTCGACGTGCATATTCCCTACAGGATATTTTAAAAAATGATTTTGAAACTATCAATCCTTACAATTTCCCCCTCTTCATTTATAAAAAATAAACAATTAAAAATGAACAATCTCCAGGGCAGTCTATTTAAAATCTCAAATTGATTGCTACGAATCTGCAATAGGTGCAATTATTTTGAAACGCCTTGTACGTTCTGTACAAATCTCATTACGTATGCGTATCTATTTATATATATATAAAAAAAGGTTAATATAATCCGTGGTTGTTTTTCCTTTTCAACCGAGCGGGGCTTGAAACAAATTGAAATGAACATTGAAATTAAGCGAAGATTAGATTGGTAAAAATGAAAAGTGCACGATGCACCGTGATACAGCGAAACAGATTGAAAGCGTGCAAAGGCAGGATCCTTGATCCTTCCGACTCGATGACGTCAGGATCGTTGCTCGACGACGAACGGATCGAATATTCATGAGACTCGAGGAGACAAGCACAGGCCACGGTGTCGTGTTGTTCGCCGCTGGTTACGACAGAGATCTTAATGGGACGAATGAGAATCGTAGAAACGCGATAACAGCTTCTTTATCGGTCTCGACCCTTTTACCCTTGCTTTGACTCTCGTTTTTTAATCATTCTTCACGAGTTTAACATCGACTTACGCGCCACCGTCCGCGCCGCCTTTTCACGCTTCTTTATCTCCCTTTCTCGCTTTTCAAGAACTCGATCGTTCGGTAATAATTAGCTCGAACATCGAGGCATTTTCGTTGCGATTCTAATATCAAAATTAGAAAATAATTGTAGATACATGCAGAATCGATTCGCCGATCGGAATTGATGGAAAAGAAAGGAACTCTTATTTCGCGGGGACAAACTATTGAAATTCCTCGACGAAAGAGGCAGCCTCGTCGAATTCCGGCTCGTTTCGACGCAGCTGGTAAACAATTATAAACATGTGTCACAATGGAGACAATTGCCACGGTCCCACGACTATTAGTCGCGTTTCCCGCTGCTTCGAGTTCCGCAAAAGGGAGCCTCTCCTCGCCGCGTTGTTTATCGAAATTTTAACATCGAGAGAAACGTTGGTTAGCCAAAGAAATTCTAATTCCTCCCGAGAGGAAGGAAGAAAAAAATTTTTAAAATGGATTCGTCGGGGAAATCGTTGATTCAAGTTGAACTACGCAGAAAATGGACGCGTTGGTCGGTGTTTTCCGCGATATTGCGAAATTGCGTGCGCTAATTGCCGGCCGAAGGAGAACCTGCCTCTGTCCCCGTGCGTCTAGAAGCGGTGAATGACGATCAGGGCTCCCGGTGCACGAGATCACGTATGCAAATGATAATTATCGGGTTCAAGCGCGCTAGAAAGATCAATTAATTGTGCCGCGAGGAGAACGGTTACGTGGTCGCGACTCGTTTCACGTTATGACCGATTTGACGACAGTTCAGAATCGAAGGTAGCCGAGAAACAGAATTCGCTTTTATTATACGCGGTGTCGCTTAAATAATTAATCAGACACTTTGGATATTCCATTCTTCTCACTGTAACCTTGTACCTTCTGATAAACTTCGTACCGGATGATTAAATTAAGATCGAGCGCCAGGAAAGATTTTATTTTTCAAAAACAAATTTTATTCCACTGCGAAGGCTTAAACGTAGGAAAATTGATGTTAGGTTAAATTTATCACTTGATCTTCTAAAAATCATTGATGAAATTTTATAACGATCACACACTCTGTAGATGAAACAAGTTCTACGGCACGAGAGATACTGGAAGATCGGTATTTTGTTGTAGGTGGCAATTTATATGTTCTCTTTACACCCACTCCTCTTCCCGGAGGTTGATTACGAGCAATAGAGGGGTGACTATTAATTATTCACGAGTAATATTGAAAGTGCTTAGAAATATGGTAGAATTCAGTGAAGTGTCTTGTAAAACGTGAAAATGATGTAGAATCGTTAGAAATTGAAATGATCGTTTAAACATGGTGGAAGTTTACAGAAAGAGAGGAGAAGGAGATCCGTGGCACTGATTCATTTGCAAAATGTGTCATTTGTTAAATGTGACGCGATGCAAATTCACTGGAATTGAATGTTTATAAGTTGAATTAAAATAGAGAGAGAGAGAGGACCTCGTGATTCTCTAGTCAGGGGTTAAAGTCTCACGTTTGCATACGCACGAGCAATTACACGAGCTGACTGATCAATTAGACGGAAATAATATCAGATAACACGATGGTAATTGATGTACGATGGTTAATGTAAGAAAAAAAAAAAAAAGAACACATGCACGAATGACGATAGGTGATTTGTTAAAGTTTGAACGACGCGTAAACGTGTGACCACTTTTAACAACATTTATGATTAATTATCGTTTCTGCTCGGTGTTGCGTGCCTTGTCTTCTTTAGTGTTCTTGAATTACTTTTTTGCAATTCTCCTCGAACGTGTACGTGAAAAGATTTCTTCGAACTCGAAACAAGAAGTTATTTGAAATAAAATCAGAACAAGTTGGGTAATACGTGTATTGTCAATTTCAATCATCGAGTAAATTAGGTTACCTTAGGAAAAATCGTGATATATTAATATTAATTAATATGTTAATTGCGAACCGTTCTTCCAAATTATTCAGGTGATAGTAATTAGCAGTTCAACCTGGATAACAATACGAAACGATAATAAAAAGGAAATACAAACGCGTTGATAAGGCAGGATTCAAGAATTTTTAGAAAATTACATCCATCCAATAATCCAAATAGCGGCAATATATTAAATCAGACAAGTAGCAGTCTGACAATGATATTTCTCCTTTCGTCGAGCCCTCGTTCGCAGTAATTAACATCAAAATCGCATTTAGGATTGGGTAGATCTAAGAAAGCTCATCAAGCAGCCTCATCAACTCGCAAACGACTCCGGCGTGTACGATGCCTTTGATCGACAAAGTTGTTCCAGCGAAAAGAGTACGCCAAGGTGTTTTCAATTTACGAAAAAATGCGAAACGTTTCGCACGCCACGAGGAAATCGGAGATCAGACTTTCGTTATAACGCGTACAAAATAAATTTTCGATGAAATAACGAACGGAAGCATTAGAAGCATTAACCGGAGGATGTTGTAATTAATTACGTATCTGATCCGTTTCCTGCCTATAAAAAGAGGAACCGATGAACCTTACGAGCCATCGAGGATGCTTAAAAATAAGATTCAATTACTGGCTTCGAGCTCGATCGACGACCAAATTACCTTGCAACTTTCAATCGTTCCCTTTTTATTCGTTTCACGAGTCAGAAGAATTAAGGGATCACTCGGATGATTCAGGATTCGAGTTTCAAGGATGACAGACGTTAGGTTGTTTTTATCACCTTCGTTCGTTTGTCAAATCGATTAATCCCAGAAAAACCAAAATTAGAGAAATCGATAAAATTGAAAATTTAAAAAAGTTCATTAATTCAGCCTTTACGAAAAATATTTTATATTATTTAAATTAATTGAAAAATTACCTTCCGTCATCAGAGAAGTGCGTTATTGGTAGAGAAAATGAAACATTCACTCACACATCGAACAGATGCACCTGTACGAGTTACGGTGGCTCGATCTCGATATTGAGAACTTGCCTTTAATGACAGCCACTCGTAATGCAGGATCACTCGTCCTTGCAACCTGCTAGGATCCTTGCCCCTTGCCGTTGTTGCGTCAGTCGGTCCGCCGCACCGCGTGCCTCTTTCTCTCGCAATTCATATCTCGCGGATACCTTTCATTAATTATCCTCATCGACATTTATCGCCACCTTATCGATCACGCTGATTTGAAAAATTTCGGTCGATATCCTGCTTTGAAATTTTTATTAGAAAAATTAATCCAACGCTCCGGTTGGCTTAATGATTATTTAGAAGAAGAATTTTTCATTTCGAAAATAATATAGTTTCAAACATTCTAATTGGTGCTGGTAAAAACATACATCATAAATTGTTTTTCTATCATCTTATCAGGAATATCAATCGCGAATGATTAATCCTTTATCCGAAGTTACTTATAAATGAAAGTAAAGTAGCACTTTTGTAATGTACACAAAAAATGACTCGGGATATTACCACCGTTTCTGTAACAATATTTATTTCCGTAGCTGTGGTATAATATTCTCTAGTTATTACTTTTTTATTCGAGATCACTTATCACGTTAAACGCAGGTAGAATTCCTTGAATTATTTTATGCGTTTGTTGTATATCGTCGCGTTCACGTCGATTCATTAAGTCCCCCCACCACCCTCCATTTTCCTTTTTATTCGTGGATTTCAATATCATCTAATTGGCAGATTATCTTGCATTAATTGTCTCGGTGAATGGTAGCAGAATTTCTCCTACTCTGCAGTGCTCGCTAATCGCTGGTTACTCAATGAATTAAAACCGTTTCTGTCTTATCTGCTTTCTAATCTGATCACGCATAAGTCATTGCATATTTTTTCTTTTTTCATACAATTACTTGTTAGTTAATTTTAGGTATATAATTGTGTTTTAAACGAAAGGGTTTCGAATAATTTAAAAAAAAAAACAGTGTAAAGTTTAACAAATGAAAATTGTTTCTATTTCATATTCAAAGTAGTTTAATTTTAGATCTTACAAGTGGATCACAGAAACAAATCTAATTAACATTGCACAATGATGATTGTTTATTAAGAAACAGACTCAACTTGTTCGCGATTACCTATATAAGTAATAAATACAATTAACAAGTCCAAGGTAAGTTGACCCCCGAGCCGAGTGATTTTTAACCTCGTGATTGATGATTTCAGGTGATGATCAATACCGTGGTGCTGGTGGATCGAGCAGCGGAAGTCCTCCAGCGAGTTTGCTGGTGGTTCCTCAACCTTTGACCGTGAAACCTACTCATCCATCTCACCTGAACCCTCACCTGCCTGGACCTCATTCTCATCCTCCGAGAAAATATCAGTGCAAAATGTGTCCTCAGGTAAGTGATCCAATTATTCAAAGTAAATAAATATTCCATTATGAAAAATATCATGATTCTAAACTGATAGAAGGGTTGAATTTTGATGTGTACGCTTTTCGTTTACCAAAGTATCGGAATTTCGATGGTGCAGGAATAGGGGCGATTCTTTTAAAAATTCGGGAAGCGTTCGAAGAAATATAGGATTCCGTTTCAAACGTTCGCTGGAAAATTGCGTTGATTTCTTGGGACGTGTGGTTAAAAAACAGTTATTCAGGTTCAAGGGAAAAAAGGAGACACGCAAGAGCGTGAAAGAAGGAATCGTGAATATTTAGAAGAGGGTGCAATTAAAATTCTGTCAATCGGTGGAAACGTAACTGGACATTTTTCCGGCTTTTTTGTGACGATAATGGCTCGTTTTATGGCGTTTTAACCCTTTACGGTGCCTCCTTAAATCCCACCACGACCCCGGTACGCACAGTAGTGGATGATTTTACCGCAGGTACATTCGTGAGGCCACGATTCAACAAAGCCACGAGGGTTATTCGATTCTCGCCACTGTTGTAAAACACCGGCCATTCAGCTGGCAACCACTTTTCTCCGTTCCTGGTGTAATACACCGTAGAAAGAGGGGGCTACCCCTTCGCCTCTCTTCTTTTAATTTTCTTCTCTCTCCTCGTCTTTACGTGTTGCACCCTTCGAGCACGCGTAACCTCTGCTAAATATCAAATTTGATACTTCGTTTCTCCGAGATGAAATTTTGAGATTTCAAAATTAGAAATTTTTCTATTCCTAAATTTCTAATATTCTAAAATTTAAAAATTCTAAAATTTAAAAATTTCTAAACAAAATTCCGAAAGCACCGAAACGTCTCACCGTATCTTTGACCCTGTTACAATATCCGAGCTAGAGAATCAAAACATCAAGAACGTCGCACAAATCTCTCAATTCCCTTCTAAATTCAAATCAAATCACGTCTCTTTTCTATCGTTTCTACGCGAACACGTTTCCACGACAATCTGCAGAAATATATTCCACCCCGTCCATCCTGTTCCTTCAGACTTCCCCTTTAATACAAAAATCATTTCTCTTCGCTTTCTGTTCCTACATATCTCTCATCCAGTCGTGTATCGATTTTATTTCTATTTCAACCCCTTCTCTTCGCTATCTTGCCGGAACTTTCTTTTCACTGAAAGTCGACGATGTCTCTTTTTACCGGAGGGATGTTCAGGTATAGAAAAGGGTTACTCGTCGCTGTTTCTTTCGAAATCGAGTCATCTGTCACACGGCTCGTTTACGACGAGGACTTGCCGTTTACATCTTGTAATCCACGACAGAGTCGGGGATTATCGGATCGGAAAGCTCGGATTATCGTGTTTTCTACCAAACACTCGAACGCCAAAATACATGAAAATTTTTCATTATCTTTTATTATCAATTAGATGTTTAAAAAAAATCAACACCCTTTTGTCGAGGAAAAGAAAGTAAGCGTAAACGTAGACGTCGAATTATAAACTGGGAAAAGCACAGGTTCGGTGTTTACATAAAACACACAAAAAAAAAAGAAATCCGCAAACAGGCTTTCGACCAGGTTCTTACAGCAGGTAACGGAAGGGTTGAGAGGTGATTTTCGAAAATTGAGCTGTCGCCGATGGCTTCCGGACGCGTTTATGACCGGATTTTACGGGTACATCCACCCAAGCAACGATTCTCCAACCCTTTTCGAGATTGTTTGCAGACTTAAAAAAGTCTTCTAATCCTTTAACTGCCTCCTCGAGGAAGCGCTTAAGCCGTAAGGTCTTTGCGCTTTTCCTTTCCCTTTTTTTCACCCCTTTCGTTGTATTTTTCTCTTACGGCACAGTAACACTTGCGACTTTCCTGGATTAACGTTCGCTCGAAATTTGATTATTTTTAATTTTTTAAATAGCTTAAATTAATTTGCACGGTGTGCCTCGGTAACAGATTATCTAGTTTAGAAAATTTCGAGATGAGAAGAAACTGTTCGGGATTGAGATAAAAGGTTGGGAATGCGGAGAGGAAAGAGAGGCGAGAAATAGCGATCGAAGGACAGCTTCGATCCATAAGACGGATCGTTAAAATTTAATGATATTCACCGAACGTTTATAGAATAGGACAGATTATCATAGGCCGGAGGCCAGCGAAGCACATCGTGCCTGATCTGACACATACACCTTGCTCGTTTCCGTTGAAAAACAGTAATTATTGCGTGCTATTAAGCGAAATGAATGTCGATCCGTTCGCGAGATCGAGCGCGATAGAAGAACGGACGGATTTCGCCGAGTCTCGTAACGCGATTACATGCGTTTTATGAACGATACTGGCTGGATAATCAGCTCGGAGAATGATTCTCTACGTCACCGTTAAATCTGATCGGAAAGAAATAGCTGAACGACGGAAACAGCTGTACAAATTATCTTGTTGTTTTTATGTTCATTGTTCGATCATTCGAACACGTGCTGCGTGATTTATCAATCTTTATCGATTGATCGTAATCGCAGACTGATAGAGGATTAAAGGAACGTGGCAACTTCGAAAGTTTTCATTCATGAATTCATCGAAGTTTGCAGGGTGATTTTGAGGATTATTAAAATTATGGAATTAAAAGGTTCTTTTTTATTTTTAATAATTAGTAATTAGGATTTCTATTTTAAGAATTAACATTTCTAAGTCCCCGGAGCTATCAAACTTTCATGGGCTCTTTGATCGTTTTTAACTCAAAAATTGAAATTTATTCTAAATAAAAGTAAATAATTAATAGGGCGCTAATTTCCCCCACTATTTGATCGTCATTTAAAATCACAGAAAGGTGATAAATAATTGTATGCAAAATGCTGAAGAGTGAGAAATATGAACACACGAAAATTCGATTACCTTAATTAACACCTAATATCCTGGATGAAAGAGATCTCTCGACGGATCTACGAAGTCTGTGTTCAATGGCTTCTTTCGATACTCTTAATTCGATACTAGTCACGGATCGATTGAATGGTTGTCGGCGTCGATAATTGAGGAAGCGGCGGCAAGATTAGCGAGGCAAAGGGCCTCGAAAGAAAGTGCAGCTGCTTCGTTATTATGATTTTCTTCATTAAATGCCGATCAAGGGAACGCTTTAATGGCTTTCTGAGTCTTATCACAGCCACGGCAATAAGACCTCTCTCTTTACACGCGCACATACACGTTTCATCCAAGATAGAAAGAAAAGGAGAGAGAGCTGCTTATTTCAATATTACAGTGTAATAAATAGCGAGGCTGACTGGTGCGCGATTAAGCCGACGAAAATTACGAAGGGAAGTTGCCGGGCAAATTACACGGATCTCGCGAATTTTTCATCGACTTTACCTGGAAAAGGGGAGGGTATTAGAAAGCGGCGAGCAGAAACGTTATCGACAGGGTGGTTTTTATCCTCTGGAACTGATAACAGGCTTTCAGAGAATTCTTCTGAAAATCATTTCGAATAAATGATTTTTTTCACTCAAAAGATTATTAATATACGGAAAGAAACTCTCAACGCGGAGTGTGCGTTAAATAAATAAACAGACGAGGAAAAATCAGACATAGAAGTGGAATGATTTATTTTCCTGCTAGGAAACGCGTTCACCCTGGAGGATTCGAAGGAAGAAGAAGAGTAAAGCGAGGATTGGAAACCGTGACTGATATTATTCCGCGAATAATTTCCGCGGCGCGGTTAACTAGATCCGCGTTGCGGTTTTCCAGCGAGGCGCGGCTCGCGGAGATCGATCGATCGGATCGATCGATGATGATGGCCTGCGAAGAAGGAAAACGAACAGAAGAAAGATCGATTCAAAAGAATGGTAAAAAACGAACGAAGGGCCGGGGGAAATGGAAAATAGAGTGTTGGAATTCATAAGACAAGATGTCAAGGAAAAAATTTTTTAAATAATTTTCATTATTTATTTCAACCCGAAAGCATCAAAATTACGTTGACGAACTGTCGCAGATTGTCCATGGTTTTTTCCAAAAATCATTAGAAGAAAGTTTCGGCCCAGGTAGGCTCTAATCGAGCCGACTGTCACTTTGTAACACTGTAATCTGCTCGACGTGGTTCCCTTCGATCCAACGTTCTTCCAGGAGCTACGGGTGCTCGTCCAGAATGAGGGGCAGGGAACGAGAAGAAATAAGGAGAGAAGGAGGAAAAAGAAAGGGTAAAAAAGCTGGCTGCTGAATGAAGCTATGCACCTCCGTGCCCGGGGGGCCCTAACATTCAAGTCCAGGGGCTAGTGTACCGTGACGAGCACAGCATCCTGCCTCATCCTCTTCTTCTTCTTCTTCTTCTTCTTTTCCTTCTCCTTCGATCGACGTTCCCTCGAATCACTGCCTGATCTCGGACGATTCCTCTTCTATCGTCTTACTACAATTTCTTTTTTTTTTCACCTCCTAGCTGATTTAACACGTTCGATTAGGTGTTATTCCGTATAATTACCAAAATATCTATTTTTTGAAAACTTAATTGCACTCGACGAGGAAGGAATTCGCGATGGAACGCGTCGATAAAATAAATAATCACGAAACGCGGTTCAGCAAACCTGTTGACCGATACATGCAACTAAGTAAAGGGTGCGTCGAGATGATAAGAGGGGAAAAGAGAGACACCGGTTGCAAGGAGACGCGTAACCACGTTCGAGTGACTAGCACTTGGATCGTGATCGAGAATAAAACGTGATATTAAAGCACGAACGAAGAAACGTCGAGCAGAGAACGCGTTCAACTGTGCAGACGTGTAATTTGAAAAATTGTACCATTTCAATCTACCATGAAGAATTTAAATATTTCTTTCTATCCATTCATCGCGAATGTCTCTTGTAAAAGAATGATAGATAGCGAGGAGGATAAGGAAGACGGAAGATATTGATTTTCATTCGAACATATGCTTCTGTCATGTTTTATTTTCTATTCGGTTGGATCAATACAATAGTCACAAATTTGTATTCATTGCCTTAAATTAAAAGAAATAATTAGAGCATTTAGATACACGAAGGAGA